TCCAGGCTCTGCACACTCCAGGAATGCCCGGATCCAGGGGGGAAGTTGATGCCACAGGCAGGAGATCTGAATTGCCAGTCAGATTGAATGGGGAGTGGAGAATGGAAATGATCCCCAGGCACCAATATTGGTGGTTATGGTAGTTTTGTGTGTGTTTTTAATGACTATAAATTCTTTGATCCTCTGCTTTTCAAGAAGTGTTGGCTATGCCCCAACTCTTGATTTAACAAATATAGTAAAGAGAAAGTGATGATATGCAACTTTGGAAACTAAGCTATAAAAAGGTCCTCATGCCCTAGTAGGATTGGCTCAGTGGTTAGAGTGTCGGCCAGCTGACTGAAGGGTCCTGCGTTCGATTCCAGTCAAGGGCATGTACCTCAGTTGCAGGCTCGATCCCAGGCCCGACTGTATGCTTGCAGGAGGCAACCAATTGATGGGTCTCTCTCACATCAATGTTTCTCTGTCTATCCTCCTCCCTTTCACTCTCTTTAAATATCAATGGAAAAATACCCTTGGGTGAGGATTAACAACAACAAAAAAGGCACTCAGGTTTCCATTTCTCTCTCTCTCTATCTATCTATCTATCTATCTATCTCTACCTACCTACCTATACCTATACCTATACCTATACCCATACCCATACCCATACCTATACCTATACCTATACCTATACCTATACCTATACCGCTCTCTCCCCTCACTCTGGAAGAAACCAAGTTTTGTGTTATGAGCTGCCCTATGGAAAGGTCCACATGACAACAAACTGAGAGGGCATCTGGCCAACAGCCAGCAAAGATCTGAGGTTCTCAGTTCAACAGCCCAAGAGGAACTGAGGCCTATCAACAACCTGTGAGGAAACTTGGAAGCAACTCCTTCAGCCCCAGTCAGGTCTTGAGTGACTGCAGCCCCAAACATCGCTTAACTACCACCTCATCAGAGAACATGGGCCAAAACCACCCAGCTAAGCCATTCCCAGACGCCTGAACCTCAGAAACTATGAGACAATAAGTGTGTGTTGTTCTAAGCTGCTGAGCTTGGGGATAATTTGTTACACAGCAATAGATAACTCACACACTAGCTAAGGAGGAACAGTAAGGTGTCTGGAGGAAAGACTCTAGAAAAACCAGACATTTGACAGGATTCCTGCTTAGACTGAGTCCCAGTACTGGGTTGAACAGTGAAGGGTGGAAGTGGGTTTTAGGATGTTATCTCATTTCAATCCTCCATGGAGGGCTATTTTTTTGAATGAATCTTCTTTAAAAGAGCTAATAGTGGGAACTAAGATAATTTAAGTGACAGTGTAGGGACTAAAAAAGAAGTGAATAGGTGTGAAACCACACAGTGCACAAGAGCACCCACAGTTTCCTGGGCCCAACCTGTTTGCACAGTGTGGGCAGGAGGGCAGCCTCTCCACCAAAGAAGCTACCATCTTTGGCTTCTAGTCTTGCCCTCTGTTTCCCCGTCTGGCCCTTACCCTGCTCACCCTCCTTCCACCTTCCTGAGCCCATCTCCCACCTTTAACAGATTTCTATTTAGGTTCCTGGAACAAGTCCCCCATATTAGAAAGTCAGGGATGTCCTGGAAGTTCAACAAGTCAGTTGAACAACTGACAGTCAGTATTTTGGCCTCAAGAAAGTGGTGCTTGGATATCTTCATGATAATTACTCATCACATTCTCAAGTAAATACCTTTATATTCACTGCTTTCATTTGATTCCCCACAACCATCCTGTGAAGTAGGCAGAACAGATATAGATACTCCTGATTTACAGGTGAGGAAGCTGAGGCTCAGAACGGCTTAGAGAGTCAGCAAGCAGTGGAGCCAGGGCTCAAATCTATGCCTTTACACTCCCGTCTTGTGGGCCTTTTACTCAACCCCTCAGTCTCTCACTACATGTTCCAAGACGGCCAACCCAAATGTAGTTTTAGCCTTACACTAAGTTGTTAAATCTAACATTTCCCCTTTATTCGCAAGAGGTTTGCTAAAGCACAGTAGTGTAGGGCAGTGGATTTCTTTGTGCCTCAGTTGCCCCAGTTTGAACCATACAAAGTGGACCAGCTGTTTATCCCTGATTGGGCCTCAGTGTTCATGCCTCTAGCAAAGTCCCTCAGGAAGCTGGGCCTGCTCCCGTGAGGCAGGGCATCAAGTCCTCACCATTTGGCAGTGACTACGCCTGAAAACCCTGAGGAAGATTCGCCCAGAAGTGAATCAGTCCAGCCACACAAAGGGGCACTGGAGGCTGCCGGAAATAGGTCAGCAGACCATGGTGGCATTATTGGGCTTTGGCTCCTGAGACTATCAACAGAGGTTCCCAGTCTCATTGGCCACAACTCCTCTGCCAGAAGCTGGCGTGAGGACCTCCCTATCCCACACATGGGCCACCTATCCCCCACAGGGAGCTAGTTGTCCTGGTCCTTCCTGGGGCCAGCCTGAATGGCCTGCCTATCACCTTCTCTCTCTTTGGAGACTCTGAGAGGAGCACAAAAAGACATCTGGCATCCAAAGCCAATTTCACATCAGCCCCAGACACCTCCATTACACTGTCAGACAAGGAAGGACATGAATGCTCCTTACTCACCTCATCCAGGACAAGAACAAAAGAGCAGACAGAAAGGGCCCCCATTTTTGCAATCACCATACTATACCACAGCCCCAAAGCCCCAAAAAGGTTCACGAACTCCTTTGAATTCTTTTCCCTCTTCATCCCCTGATTCTCCCAAGTCAATAATTCACTTTCCAATTTGCAATGGCAGGAGAATGGGAAAAGGAGATGGGGATGGGGATGGTGACAGCCAGCTTCCCCGGAAGCCTCTCACCCAGGTTCCTTGAGCCACAAGGTCCATAATGTCCTTCAACACCCTCAACAAGGAGACAGACATCATGCTGAACCAACACTGCTTAAAAGAGAAACATCCTCAGGCTCCATGGGAGCACGTCAAAACCCAGCACCATCTGGCCTTGTATTCACTCAGCATTTATTCCAAACCCCAACCCAGAGCCACCCTCCGCCCCTCACTTGATCTACACCTTTGGCTACTCAATCCAACTGACAAAGCATTTTCCACCAGCCAAATCCTCATCTAAATTAATCTGGTTTTCTCTTATAATTAAACAAGTATTTATCCAACAAATTCATAAATGAGAACTGACCTCACTGTTTATTTGGAAAGCTGGAGGAGTTGGTTGTACATGGGCTTTATCTTTTTCCTCTAGATAAACTAGAGAGTTGAGATACTACAGGACAAAGCAAATCAATGGCTATTTCCAGTTACCAGCATTTGTCTTCCGATTTAATAGAAATGATGCCCTAAGACACGAAGTCTCTTCAGTACAAACACTCATCGATATTAAAGTGATGCAGGAGAGCCCTTCCTGGTGCTTTGTAAATGTGGACAAGAGCATCCCAACTGTTTGAAGATTCACAAAGCCCCTCAAGAGGAGTGGTGATCAACTCCATCCCAGAACCAGCAAGAAGAAGTCACCCAAGGAATAGGTGAGAGAATTAGGAATACGTCATGGGAAATCTGACCTCCCTCAGGGATCACTAAATGTGTGGGACATATGCCACTATGCCATCCCATACTGTGGCAGACTTCACTAGTCAAGTCAACAATCTCTTCCAATCCTCATGTCTGAGACCTTAGGATCCTTCTCAACACAGCACTGCAAACAGCTTGCACCACTGAGTTTTCACACAAGAGGAAACCTAGGGGCCACCTCTGAGCTGGAAGCTATTAAGCTTAATAGGTTATGAGCCTCATGTGAGAATTAAGGATTCAAACCTTAAGCAGGTCACCAATCGAATACATATTTTTTTTAGGGTTTTTTATGTTTTATTTGGGAAAGTGCTTCTTACAAAAGGGCAGCTGTAAAATACAGAGACCTCTGTAACAATGACTTGTTTTTCTTAAAGTGAAAGAATGGGTGGGATCCAAGGAATCAAAAGCAGTCGATGGGACAACTTAGGAGCATCTCCAAGTTATTTTCAGGAAACAGCAACAAAATTCAAGCTAAATTTTTCAATCAAGGAATTCTAACAATTTAGCTTGTCTTGGGAATTACCAACCCAACCCCACCCCCCTTGAGTGGGAAAGCATAACTTATGACTGCAAACCAATGACTCCACTATAAGAAACACCTTAGAACACAGTTTTGAATCACATCTGTCTACCTGCAAAGTACAGGGATGGAATGAGACACATACCCACAAAAACACAAAAACCTCACAACAAAACCCCTCAAGCGAGGACAAAGGTTTGCCAAAAGGTGCCTGAACTGGAGAGGGTAAGAGATCATTAAGCATTAAATACAACTGTGTATCCACAACCCCGTTTTGTGTTAAGAAATGAGATAACCAGATAGTTTTACCCTCTATGGCTAAGCCCATTTATTCATATAGACAGACAAAGCTAGCACTGCTCTAGTAACGGCTACCAACATACTGCTTTGTCCTGTAAGATCTAGTCACCACACGAGGCTGAACCACTAAGCCAAGGTTTTCCACTAAGGCTAAGGATGCTGCATCTTTGCAGGGATGAAAAGCTTACCACACACTCATACTCACATATACCAAATCTATCAGCTCTTGGGAGTCAACCTCAATTCTGCATTTCATTTATGCCAGTATATCTTTTATATGTGTTCTTCCAGAATATTCCTGTCATACTAAACAGCAAAAATCTCAACACATTCGCACCTGGTTATGGTTACCCAGTAGTTATTACTTGTGTGCAATAAAACAAGAGACTGAAACCACAGAACAAGTGCACAGGGTGGGGACTGTTGGATAAGGAACAGATATAAAAACACAGATGTGCAGATCTCACCAGAAACCTCAAATATCCGCCTCTAAGTCTGTAGCACAGGCTACTTGCCACATTCAGATCCTTCACCCATCACCCCTCATACAGGGCCAATGCTGCTACTTTTGAACACCCTCCAACTGTGTGAATCTGGTTGAAAACAGATGACGCAACAAACCTACACTAACTGTCTGACAGTTAAGTTCGTGTTACAAAAAACTAACTTTAAGGTTTATTTTTGTAACTTTTTAACCAGAGGAAACAACATACTCCTTGGGGAAAGGTGAGGGAGTAAGAAGACAGGCCCTGGGTACGAAGTATTACGACAGCACCTGGAGTTGCTAGGCCTGCCTAGGAGACACGGGCACTGCCACACCACCACAGGGGACAGCCACTGTCTGGGCTCAGCAGACCAGTTCCCACGCCACGCAAAGCTGCTATAGGTCCAAGTCATAAAAGTCTTCCAGCTCATCGTGAAACAAGTCCCACTCGTCTTCAGAGTCTGTCAGCTCGTCGTCGTCGTCCCCACCTGCAGCCAAAAGCATAAGCAACATCTCGCCCAGCTCAAAGGTGACAACCTCTTCTTCATCGTCAAAGGGGTTGCTGTTCTCTCTTTCCTCAATGAGCTCCCAGAAGTGGTTCCTTCGTTGGGCCTGTAAAAAACAAGGCCATGATAGGGGTGGCACTGTCGAGTGGTATCTTCTATTCTCTCCTTTCTAAGACAAAACGTCCAGCACACCAGAGGGCATGGAGAACCCGACTTCTCGTTTAGGGTTCCATTTTACCAATTCCTCCCCTCTGGCTACATGATGCACAGGTTTAGACTAGAGTTTTAAGCGTTCTAGCTCTTCCTCTCATGCCCCTCCCAGTCTCCTGAGGTTGGTTTCCTGCTTTAATACTCTAGTTTCGCTCCCAGACCTGAGTGTTAACTTTCTCCTTCCCCTACCCCAATCTGTGCAGGACTCACTGAGATGGTGGGATTTTCCCTTCTTTAAAAAAAGTGAGAATTACCCGGTATCTGCTTGATGTTCCCACTTTCTGTCTCTGTGGCTCCTCTCTACGGCCATCGGGGTACGCATGCTTGTAAAAACAGTTCCCTCCAAATGGGCAGCTCCCACGTCCCTCCCCGTAGCGGCACTCTCCCACCGCTGCATAGGGACAGAGCTGCTTCTTCGTGTCCACAGCTGTTGGCTCCTTCTCTGGTTCTTCCTTGGTCACTGAGCCCTGCAGGGGTGTACGGCCACAGTAGGGCTGCCCAGGAACAAACTCAATGGCATTCACCCAGTCTTCTGAACCTGCTCCTACAGTTGCAAAGTTTGAATTTGACTCAGCCTCGCCTGTATTCATTTCAACAATCGGTCCAACTACTGGTGAGAGACTTGAGGAAGCAGCAAGGGATGGTTTTGCAGTTAGATCTGTAGCAGTTGCTTCTTCCTGTTTCAATGGTTTGCTATGTTCGTATCTGCAGCGGCCTCCGTAAATACAGTACCCTCGCTGAAAATACTTGCACAGCACACCGTATGGACTGTCAGAGAGGTCATGCGAGTAGCGACAGGTATCTCCTTCCTTACAAACCCCATGCATGAAATACCTGCAAGGCTGGTCTCGGAAGGAATGGGTGTCCTCCGTGCCACGTGGGAGTTACTAAAGGATTCTAGGATGGAGCAGGATGACTCTCGAATACATATTTAACTCCTGTTTTCCTTTCTATGAGTCGAACACCTTATCAGAATAACTAGGACCTTAAACCAAATGGTTTTGTGGTTGGACTGACAGACAGGATTCCCAATTGCATACTTCTGTTATTACAGAAAATAATCTGGAAGACTTCTAACACACGGTTTTTAAAAATAGTGGTTAATATATCACTCCTTCATTAAGGAATTCCTGTTTTTCTCATTGCCCAGGGCAGGAAGTAACTTCCTTAGTCTCATACGCCTCTTTGCTGTCAGGTCATAACTGCCCTTTTAGATCCGTCTTCTTTTACAACCACAGGCCCAACCACCACTGGATCCTATGCAACAGTCAGACAGAGAAGCACTTGCCATGTTCCTTCTCCCCCGCCCCACCCCACCAAAATCATCGCTCTTTTTACACGTCACACTTTTGTACACAAAGATCGCACTGTCCTTAGTCTGACTCCATTCACAGCCAAACCTGTCAAGCAGGTTGTCTACACTCTGGCTGCCTGAAGTGTGGTCCATGGGCCAGCAGCATGAGCATCACCTGGAAGTCTGTTAGACACGCCCAGCCCAGACCTCCTGAACCTCAATCTGCATTTAGACAAGATCCCTGGGTGACTCACACGCACAGTGGATTTTGACATGTACTGTTCTAATTTCACTCCCTTCCTTTCTGGGATACCCACTCAGTCTTCATTCTCTCTCCTCTGACTGCCCTCCCCACCTCTCCACCAAAACAACTCACATCAAATGAGTGAATGTCAATTCATCCTATATAATAAAAGGCTAATATGCAAATCAACTGAACGGCAGAACAACCGGTCGCTATGACGCGCACTGACCACCAGGGGGCAGACACTCAATGCAGGAGCTGCCCCCTGGTGGTCAGTGCACTCCCACAGGGGGAGCGCCGCTCAGCCAGAAGTCCTGAGCTGGGCTCACGGCTGACGAGCACAGCTGCGGTGACAGGAGCCTCTTCTCCCGCCAAGGCAGTGCTAAGCCATCAGTTGGACATCCCCCGAGGGCTCCTAGACTGCAAGAGGGCACAGGAGGGGTGAGGGACCCCACCCTCCACACCCCCGTGCATGAATTTCGTGCACAGGGCCTCCAATATGAATAAAAGAACCAAGAAAATACCACTTCCACCCTTTGCTTTCCCTGGGAACCTCTAGTCATCTGTCAAGACCAGCCTGAGTGGCCTCACTTCTGGGAAGCCTTTTTTGCTCTCCAAAGCAGACAAGGAAACCCAAGAGCTGGGAGGCTGGGGAAACTGCCCGACTCTACACCCAGCACACACGCACAGCATCCCCAGTGCCATGCTGCAGAACGCCATCAGGAATGACCAGCCCTCAAAAGCCCTTTGGGGCCTGACCGGTTTGGCTCAGTGGATAGAGCGTTGGCCTGCGGACTGAAGGGTCCCAGGTTCGATTCTGGTCAAGGGCATATGCCTTGGTTGCAGGCACATCCCCAGTGGGAGGTGTGCAGGAGGCAGCTGATCAATGTTTCTCTCTCATTGATGTTTCTAACTCTATACATTTTTTTAAAAAGCCCTTTGGGGCAACAGTCAGGGGCAGAGCTTCATGGCTGGAAGCGGAATGGTGAGTCTAAAAGTCCTGGGTGGCCAAGTCCCATGTGGGCTGATCTAAATCAGGTTCCCTGTTCAGGTTCTCACCCTCTGATGCCCACTCTACCAGCCTCTCAGTCCCCCTGAAGACCCTTCTCCACTCTTCTTCCTTCAACACACATACCAAGCACCCATCTCTCCCCCTCTCCTTGCCTCGAGGAGGAATTTTTCCTTTTCCTTTGGACAACAGGATCCCAGAAAGGAACTGTCGGTCTCTGGTCCTCCCATTTCCCCAGCAGTGCCATCCTGTTGACCCAGTGGCTTCCAAACTTGAGTGCATACACATGCAGGTCCCTGGCCCAAGGAGCTGGAAACCTGCCATTCAGCTGGTGCCGAGGTGGTCCTGATGTAGGAGCCCGGGGCCCCACTTGGTGACCCTCTGCCTCCCAGATTCTCCTTGAGGTTCCTGCATGTGGGACCACTAGCAAGTCTACCAGCGGCTTGTGACCTAGGTCTGCCTTGGTCAAATGCGGGCTCCAAACCATTTCCTGCCCACCTCATCCTTCTACTGTGAGGATCACGGCAACAGGGTATGTGCTACTGTTTTGTTAGACTGGAAAACATGTTGAAAAAAATAATAGGCAAGATTTTACCACTCTTCTGCTTTGTTTTGGCGCCAAGAAATAAACGTCTATTCCCATTCCCAGAAATTCTGTATTTCTCTCAACCTCATAGCCTATTGTCAACATTCTCTTAAGTGTTGTAGACAGCCCTGTGATTATTGGATGTAGAGGATGTCAATTCATATTGGCCAGCGTCCAGGCAGATGCTGTCTTCCTGATGGGAGTTCTGTTTGCCAGAAACCTGTGGGTCTTGTGCATAAACAAGAGGCCTTCGCTTCCTTTCAGCAGCTTGAGACAGGCAACATATGCTCTCTGCCCAAGATAAGGCTGTTTAGATGACCAACTAAACTTAGAATATTTCCTCTGTATCAATACAAACATACACAGATGCCCATCCCACTGTTTGTGAATGATCCAATGGAGGTAGGAAAGACTTAAGATATTATTTCCACTGTCTCATCATTAACCATTGAATATCTTTACAATGTAATTTAATTGTGCTCATTAAATTGTGAATAAGTTAAACAGTTACAAAACAAGCATTGCTTTTTGCCATTTTCTATTTTAGTGTCTATTCAACTATTTTAAGGGAAATATATCTTAGCAAAACTCCAAAGAGAACACTAGTAATAGCCAGCTTGGTCCTAAGTTATTCAGAATACCATCAACTCTTTTTTTTTTTTAATTGATTTTAGAGAGAGAGGCAGGAGAGAGAAAAAGAGAGAGAGAGAGAGATTTGCTGCTCTGCCCACTTATAAACTCACTGGTTGCTTCCGGAATATACTCCAACAGGAGATCGAACCTCAACCTCAGCATATTAGGAGGACACTCCAACCAACTGAACCACCCAGCCAGGCAGGATACCATCAATTCTTTAAACTCATGGGAAGCTCCAATCCACTGACACACCACTTCTCACCACATACCACCCTCTCTGTCATCGCCTCTCATGCACCCATAACCACAGACTCCATTCCATCCTTAAAATCACATCCTTGCATAGATCTGCTTACCCCCTTCTCCCTGTTTCCTCCTTACCCTCACTCCAGTCAAGCCCAAGCCTCCACCTGAACCCAAGCAGAGAAAAGCACATCCCTGTGCTGACCAGTCTCCATTTAAATAGTGACCACAAATCTTGGCTGTGCTCCCATATTTCCCCGGTCAAATTACTCTCCCACATCTCTCCACCTTCTCAAATATCCCACACCTCACATTCCTTCCTCATACTCTCCTACTTAGTTGAAAAAATATATAAGGAATCAGAATAAACTATCTCATCTTCTCCATGCATAGCCACTCATGTCCCTACACTGTGCCCCCCTCCTATTATCAGGAATGAAATATCCTACTTGAGGCCAATCCCCCACCTGTGCCTGGATCCCAACCTCTCACACTCCCAGGGAACTCTGTTCCTCCTATGATTCCTTCTGGCATCATCACTTTTTCTCTCTAGTTCACCATTCTGCCAGCATGCAAATATGTTGTAAGAGCTCCCATCTTTCAAAGAGACCCTTCCCAATGAACACACCCCTCTTTGAGGGCCCAGTTCCTGCTCCTCTTTTTAGCACAACTCCTTCAAAGGGAGCTCTTTGAAGTGCTCCATTTCCCTTCCACACACTCTCCTCCACACACTCACCTGTCCTTCCCGGCTGCCCCTTCTCAGCCTCCTTTGCTGGATCCTTCTCTTCTCTCTTACTCCAAACATCTCTTTTTACCTAGTTAAACTCACTTCCCCTAAATATCATCTACACAATTGTAACACACAAATTGATGTCTCCAGCACAGACCTCTCCCCTTGGTTCCAGACTCATAAATCCACTTGTCATGATGGTTAGGAACCCAAAGAATAGAAAGCAAGAAAGGTTCAAGATGGTGACATTCTCATCTCAAGGGGGTGATGGGGACCCTGCAGCCAGCGGGGGGCCTTTGGTTGGGGGCTGTAGTACCCTCATGACGGGGGAGGTAGAACTCACAGAAAACAGAGAACTAGCTGGATGGCACCAGCTCTCAGAACTGCCAGGATGCACTTTGGATCCTGAATAAGTAAAGAGGTCTCAGCATCATGAGAACAGAGAGGAGAGTTAAAGTGAGAAGAGGAAGAATCAGCCAATCGGGGGAAAACATTGGCGGCGGAAGAAAGGAGACAAAGAAGAGATGTGAGACAAGGAAGCTAGAGGAATGGGTAAGAGAATGAACTAAGAACAAGGTATCGGTCCTTACTTATTCAGAAGACACAACCAGAACTCTGGCCAAATTCCTAAAAAGATGCAGACTCAGTTCTGAATCTTCCCTAGCGGGTGTTTGTATTATTACTACTAACAGCCACAATTTATCAAGGTGCTTCCTGGACGCTAAGCACTTTGAACACACTTCCTCATTCGATTCTTAAAATAACCTGTGACTTGGGTGTCACTGTCCCCATTTTATGCAGAGCAGGGAAGTAACTCGCTCAACACAACCTCGCAGGGGGAGGGGGGTGACAGAGGCAGGATGCAAACCCACACTTATCCCAACATCCATGTGGGCCACACCACACGGCTCGGTCACAGAAACAGGCAGTGGGGACAGCCCTTCTCCTGACACCAGAGGCCCAGGGCCAAGGAGCAGCCTCCCCAGGGCACGGGCCTTCTGACCGACCAGCAGCTTCCCGACCCAGCGCTGCTTGTCTGCCCTGAGGTCCAGCTCTCCTCTTCACGCCCCAGGCCGTCCACACTCCAGCCTGCCCTTGAGGACC